CTGCAAATATTGATCTTCAACGCATCATTGCAGTCATGTCCACCATCAAAGAAAGGCCAGCACAACATGAAACTCAAGCAACAAATGGACAGTTTGACAATACCACCTCACAAGTTGAGAAAGCTTCTGAGCACGCGCTGTGGGTTGACCAAGTCTGACGCCACAGCCGCCTATCTTCTTGCCCGGATGTGGCTGTTGCTGCACAGGCCGAGGTCGAGAGGCATCGAACGCCGTGACCGCACATCGACGCGGTCCTGTGGCACATGGTCAGAGACCAGCTGTCCAAAGATCTCCTGAGCTGCAGGCAAGTCTTGCTGTTTGCACACCTGTGAGCAAAACACTTGGTCTCAAAATGGGAGAGTCCAATAATATGTGTTAACATTTCTCCCCACATTTCAACCGGCTGGGGGGTTCCCCTTCCCCAAAGATGTCATGTTTCCCATGACAATTTTCCAACTAGTTTGTACTAAAGCCACGTGTGGCCATAGCACGGAAAATTGGGCACTGTCCAACCCAGCTGGTAAAAGGATACATCGACCAAACCCAATTGATTTTCTCGTTTAAACGAAAACAAAAAGCCCAACTGCTCAATCACCACATTTGTTCCACTCATGTGTCTGACACTGCCCGCAGAGATGAAATCGCAGGTCCTGTTTCTGCAAAAGCGGAAAACACCTCGAGCTTCGAAGGGTTTATAGACTTTAGTTAATTAAATCGTTTCACGTATTTTCAGGTTACTTGTTTAATTGTCACCTGTCCAAAAATCAAAAAAACTGGTTCCCTGGCCGAGCCTTGGGCCTCGCGCAAGCGCGAGCGATCAAGGCCATGCGCCATTGGTGAGATGAAACAGTCGAATCCCAAGAGAAACAACTCCGAAACAAAGAATTCCACTGACCGCATTTATTTAAAAACCCTGTCGGTATGATCATAAAATCAAGTTGGTCTATACTGATACTGATAGTTACGTAATGAAAGTTGAGACTGATGATTTACACGAAGACTTTAAGGAGATAAATGAATACATTGCTTTTAGTGATTATCCAACAGAGCATCCAAATCATGATAAGTCAAACAAGAAGGTATTAGGGAAATTCATGATGAAATGAGCGGTAAAATAGTTACTCGCTATAGGATTGAAACAAAAGGCATATTGTTATACAGTGTATGGTGATGAGACAGAACACAAAAAAAATAAAGGAGTAGTCAAGCGTAAAGTGAGCAAACAGCAAACAATTAAGTTACGAAACTTATGAAGGGACATTGAATAGAAACTGTAAAGAAGAAGTCAGCTTTAACACTATCAGAAGTAAGAACCATCAAATCTATAGCATTAATCAGACTAAATATGATTTAAGCAACTACGATAATAAACGCTACTGGTATTCAGATTTTGAGAATCTCCCATTTGGACCCAAAAAATATCTACATAACGAAAACATGATTTAAAATATATGGATATATATTCAACAACTGAAAAACTGAGTCAAAGAATGGCAAGACATAGAAGAGATTGTAAGTCTTATCTATATAAACTGCGAAGCAAAGTGCGCTTTTGCAACTCGAGCCTTAAAGCGTCAAGTGTGTACACTTCTTGATTTGCGCGTGTCATGCCGGACTGGTTGACCTCTCAGGGAACTCCAACACCGTCCCTCCAGTCTGGCAGACTTTGCACAGGGAAATCTCACGCGCTCGTCCGTAGTATGGACATTCAGCGCAAAAGTGGATCACATTTCCTTTTGAAACCATTCTGTACTCAGTGGTCTGTTTCAGGAGTCTCAGACCGTATCTCTCAGAGATTTCCAGCTCTTTCAGAGCCTGCTGCCTTTGCAGCCGAATCTCTTTGATTCCATGCTCAAGCTCCTCGATGTAGAGGTCCTTCTTGTTCAACTCTTCCTGCATTTTGTTCTCATTCTCCTGGTAGGCCATTAGGTATGACCTCAGGTCTTCCACTTCATGGGCTTGAGTTCCCACGTTCTTCATCTCAACCCTTTCTTCTTGGGTTCTCTTCCTCAACATGGCCGTCACCTTCTCCTGCATGTAGCGCCAGCCCTTGCCCAGGAAGCCTTCCATCATGTAGTACCGCAACCATCCTGCGATGCTCAAGGCTCCACATAGTGCTCCAATCATAGTTCTCCTCCTTCTCCTTCAAGTCCGTCCCTGCGACCTCATCAAGTCTGGACATGATCATCAGCAATCCCACGTGCAGATCTTTCACCTTCATGATCTTCCTCGTGGCCTTCCTCATCCTTTCTTTGTACTCCAGGTCCTTGAACTCTTGTAGGCCAATGCGCTCTCCGGTGCTGTCAACCACCTTCAACATATACAGCAGTTCATAGAGTCGGCTCCTTGTCAAGTTCTTTGTGCCAATGTCGGCACAGTTGAGCTCAGTGCCTATGGCTCCAACATTGAAAATCTTCTCGCTCTCTTTCTGCTGTACCCATAGGAGTGCTGCATCTAGATGGCGTACTCGTCCAATGCCCTGGCGTTGCACCATTGCTCTTGCCGCTGAGCTATCTGAGCGAACCTTCATGTCGCATGGTTCTCCGACCATTGTCATCCATAGGTGGCGGATCAGCATGCCATCGGAGCACCCTGCCACAATCGCCACAAACTCTGACTCTCCTGAGGACAGGGCTATGGCTTTCTGCGATCGCACCCTGTGCTTCGTCGGTCGTTCTTCTTGCCAGCGTAGTCGGCATCCGTCACCACTTCAATCAGATGCCTCTGCTTCTCCTCTGTCTCGTCCTCCTCTCTGACATCCATGACCGACTGGCCTCTCTTCCTCAAGCCAATCCTCACCCCAAAGCCCATAGTGCCCTGGAGATATGAGCACACGTGCCAGGCATTCTTCCATGCCTGCTGAGTTGGTTTGGCCATGCTCCTGGCCAGGCTTTGGATGCTGAACTGTGCGTCTGGCCTTTCACCTGCCAGGTACATCAATCTTCCCACCACGCTGCGAAACTTTGTGATGTCTCCTCCTTCTAGCAGCGGGCTGTCATCCTTCTTCACAAAGTTCTGGTCCATCGGAGTCTTTCTGTAGGCCTTCTTGAAGACATCGGTGTCCTTTGCCAAACTTTCATATTGCTTATAGTCGCACCTGATGTCACATCCTTCACCTCCAGGCCAGAATTCCCTCTTCAGGTAGTGGAACTTCTCATTCAAACCAAATGGTCCCTTGACCTCGATGTTCCAGCCTCTGTTCTTCTGCATGTACTGCACGAAGTTCTTCAGGACCATCTCATTTCCCACCATGAAGATATCGTCCACATGTACTGTGATGTACATCTCCTTCTCCATCATCAGCAGTGTGGGCTGCATTGAATCCTGCTTCAATCCAAACTTCTTTGCAGCTCCCACAATTAACTGGAACCATTGAGATGCTGCTGTCCTCTGGCCGGGCAAACACTTGATGAGCTTGTAGATATGCCCATCCAGTTCTACAAAGGCCTTTTCATCTGCTGGCTGGTCGGCCATCAGGAAGGCGTCCTTGATGTCTAAGGTCATGGCCCTGAAATGCTTGAAGACGTTGAGCATCAAGTGAATGAGAATTTGGGGCAGGACCATGATGGACGTGGGAGCAAAGGTGTGATCAAGATCTACACTGCTCTTGAATTGTCTCGCGACCAAACGCGCTCGCCGGAACCACCCTCCTTGCTCCAGTCTGTGTTTCCAAGTGATGACGAATTTCGTGGAAATGGTGTAGCCATTGCATTCTCCCACTTCTTCCTGACTGGAATTCTCCATGGCCGGCATTTTGAGCGTTGGTTCAACTTCATTCTTCTTCGCCTGCTCGTCCAACATTTGCAGATGTTCTTCTGATGTGATAGGTGGCTCCTCATCCTCATTGCCACCATACCCAGCAAACATCTCTTCGTTCACCTCCTCTGGGATTAGGTCTTGGCCAACTTCTTCATCTCCATGGGCTTCAACCGACTGGATACCTGCATAGTGAGGCTTTGCTTGGTGACTCTGGCATTGCTCGCTCACCTTCCTCTTCTCTCGGCCTTGTCCCAGGTGTGCTTGTCGGCATACTTGCTGATGCTTCCTCCATCATCTCCTCTTCTTCACCAATCCTCTGCTTCTTTTCCGTCCCTGGGTCTTTGGCTTCTGCTTCCCTCTTCTCCTGACTCTTCCTTCAAAATCTGACGCATCAAGCCTCTTTCGCTCTGGTCCTTCTTCTTCACCTTCACTAGCTCTCTTCACCCTCGGTGTTGCTGGCGCCGCTCCTGGTGTCTGAGGTATTGCACTCATCCCCACAACTCCTGGTGTTGTTGGCTGTGGCTTCAATCCTGGTGCTGGTGTAACCACACCTGCTGCCACTGCGTCAGTGAGTGCCTTCATCTCTTCCTCCGTGGCCTCATTCTCAAGAGTCGGCACTCGGTATCGTTGGGCTTGTCCTGCATGCTTCATGAGGATTCCTTGCGGGCTGTAGCTCCATGGCAAGCCTTTTGCAACCACAATGTCTGTTGCAATGAAAGCCTCCTCTGCTGCAAGCCTCCTTATAGTCCGTGCTTCAAAAGCTCCTTCAGGACTCAGGATGATGTGGTTGTCGTTCCAACTGTGCTTGCCCACCCATACTCCTCTCTCAAACAGATCACTGGCCTTGTACTTCACAAGCCTTTTGAACATCACCGATTCTCCAAACAAGGCTAACTTCCCACGGTATCCATGGCCAGTGGAGAGTTCGTAGGGCGTCTTGTTCACCTTCTCAAGGACCCTGAATCGGTTCAGCAGGAAACCAGCATACCTGAATGACCATGGGTAAATGCGCATCTTGCCCATGATACTCAACCGAGCTCGATTTTCCGCGAAATTGCGGATGCAGTTTGCCATCCTCCTGACATTCTGAACTGCTCGTTCTGCTTGGCCATTCGATGCATGCTGGTTGCTGCCCGTCATCCTCACTTCACACGCCAATCCCATTATTGCTCTGACTTGTTGTACTGACCTCAAGAGCTGTCGCATCGCTCGTTCTCCATCTCCCTGAAAGATGCATCCATCCATTGATGATGTCTCCAGCGAAAAGCGTACGACTTCCTCAGTCACAGTCTTTAGACTGGCAGTTCCCTTCGATGGGATGGGCACAACATGCACGGCCTTCGTTTCCGAGGACACCATGACCAGACAAGCGCCAAACTGATCGGCTCTCTCTGTCACCTTGTCCACCGGTGCCTCATCCATCCCCTTCTCCTCACCAGTGTACGTGTAGAAGAAGTCCATCTGGATCACGTTCTTGCCCTGGTCCGGCTTGTCGTCCCTCAGCTCACGCTTATCCTCTTTTGCTCGGGTGGCGACACATGCTTGGCACCAAGTAGCATATGGAAGATGAGTCACAAAATGTGTCTCTTGCTCCTTGAGTGAAGGTAGCCGGGGTTGTCCCAGCGCGAGCGGCTTCCTCTCTTGTTCTTTGAAAAGTTTGCTCGCCACTTCCAGCTTCATGTTGTTCTCCAAGTTGACCTTGAAATCAATCAGCCTGTCCAGCAACCTCCTTTTGCTCCCGCTATAGGGCAACTGGCGTTCTTTGCAGGCAAGTTGTAGATCCTTCACCGACATCTTCTCCGTGTAGATGGTTTTATCAAGCTCCACCATCTTCTCAATGTCATGGGAGTCCATCTTCAACTCCATGTCCTCCTCTTCTTCTCTGTCATCCTCGGACCAGTCCGTCCTGCCTTGTGGTTCACGTCTTTTCTCCTCCGGGAATGGCCTCAGTGGCACTTCTGACTCCTGCTCCCAGTAGTCCTCCATGATAGAGGGCGCGAAGAATGTGATGGTGCGTTGAGGTCCATCCAAGCCAATCTTTCTGAAGGCTGCTGTTCCAAGCTCCAGGTAGTCCT